AAAGAAAGAAGCCTAAATGAAAGTGCTCTAATTAATTAAGAGATATAGTAGATGAGTCATAATTACAAATATATATATATATATATATTAGATTTCATGGACCAAAAGTGAAGCAGTGACTATGATATCCTCTCATATATTGAATGGTGTTTTCAAAGAGTCTGTGATGGTTCGATGATTTCTCTCTAATCAAGTATGTCACGAAAAATTTACCGTTGGAAAAAAGAGAGCCCATCTAGGAGAATCCGAGCCTTCGAAGGTGAGGAAGAAGTTGACATAAAAACCTTCGTCAGTCCAGTTTTGATGTCAAAAGAGTCCGCTGCCAAAAGAGGGTCTCTAACCTCAAATTCTAGATATGCCACTGTGTATTCAAACATATGAGTTGAAGATTAACAAGATTGGATAAGCGAATTTTAAGTTGGACAAAATAATACCAAAGTAATCAAAATAGTTATTTTTTAAAGTCCTCGAACTAAAAATATACATTTTAATAGTTTAGATATAAAAGTATCCATTTTAAAAGTCCTCGAACTATATATATATCAAAATAGTTGTTTTTTTACGTTAATTTTATGCTTTTTTTTTATTTGTAATTATCTCAAAGGGAATAAATCTACCGGAGCAAGTCAAATTAAAAAATCAAGGACAAGATTAAGATATGGAATACAACTCTTATATAAGTCTCGTACGTGCCTCACATGTTTTCATATTCTATAAAAGTAGTATCTTATTATTATCTAAAAAATGAAGAGCAGTAGATTAAAAATCTACCTCACTTAACTAATTAAAATTAAAGTACTTATTCGGTCTTGAATTCGAATCTCAAAAATTAGAGTAAAATTTAAAAAAATCACACAACCTAAATCCAAATGAAATAATTAAAAAGAATGAAAAGGCAGAGCAAACTCCAAATCTTCCCCACAAAGAAAAACAAAATATAATTCAGCGATGGAAGAGTTTTGGTCAAGAGTTGGCCAAAGAGGAGTAAGACAAGTAAGATAAACGAAATACAAACAAAATATAATCATAATTTACTTCAATACAATTCTCGATTAATTTTAGTTTTGAAAAGCATTTTTTCAAATATGGCTAATTTCGTCCTTAGACAACTTATATAAAACTGAGATAAAAGTCTATATTTTTTAATCTATAATTTACCTTGATTTCTTAAACAAAAATTTATATTTATTACTTTAATGTTAAATCTCTTAATCATGTCATTCATCTTTTAATCTCAAACATAAGAGATTATTTGATAATTATCTTGCTTTTCATTTTCTATTTTTCAAAAATTAACCGTATAATCTCCCCCAGCTTTTGTTTTGTTTAAAATTTTTAAATTTTGGCTAATAAGAATTTAAATAGATTTGTGAAAAGATACCAAATAAATTATGAAAAAACAAACATATTTTTTTAAAAAAATTGAGTATAAAATCGTTATTGAATGAGGCTTAATTAATTTGTTTGATTTTTCAAATAGACTTTCTATGGCATTATCTAATCTTAAAAATAAAAAAAKAAAAAAAAAAGAAAAAAAGAAAAAGAACTAAGATTGAAAAAAGATGCCGAAACGAAAATCTACATCAATTTGAACAAGCGAGGATTTCCAAAGGGAGTCTTTTCCGGTTTATTCGTAGTTGAAATTTTAGTTTATTTCGAACCTAATACAAGATCTTCCTGTTCAAAAATTCTAAATAGAAAGAAAAAGAAGATTTTTTTTTTTAATTTGAAACGTGTACAATTTTTTTAAGAAATTAGCTAACGTGGCTTTTCTAATAACCGTCGGATACAAATTCGAGATACGTAGTGTTGTTTGGCTGAATAATCTTTCATACATCCAAGGGTTTAAAATATTTTTCTTAATCAAAGGAAACCTAAACTATTGTTCCACTTAGGGTTTCTTCTTTATCTATAAAGTTCCTAAAGCCATTCTGAAGATCATCACCATATAACAATGAAGTTTCCGCCGTTCAACTCTCACAATCTAGACGTCSAACTCTCTCTCCGSCCGCCGTCGGCGGTAGACTACAGTGCTGCAGAACTAATAATGCAGCAGGAAGAAGTCTCCCTCCCTCCACCGCTGGAGCCACAGCCGGAGACTCTTGATCTTTCAACTCCGCTATCCACGACAACGAATCAGATTATGCATTCTTCCACTTCCTCTCGCAATTCACAATCCTTGAGAGTGAGACGCCCTAGGGCTAGGGCTAGGGTTAGGGTTAGGGCTAGGGCTAGTCCTAGTCCTAGGCGTGCTCGAGAGCCTGCATCTCCAGTTGTGCGGCAGAGGCGATCGAGAGTCGAGCTGAAGAACACGCCGATCAAGCCACCCTATCCATGGTCCACGGAGCACCAAGCCGTGGTTCACGACCTCAACTACCTCCGCGAGAATCAAATCCTGACAATCACAGGTGACGTCAGATGCGATCGATGCGAGAAACAGTACACGATCGAGTACGACCTAATGACGAAATTTGAAGAGATTGCGAGTTTCATAGAGAAGAACAAGGCTACTTTGCACGACCGAGCTCCGGAGTCGTGGACGAACCCTAATTTTCTGGACTGCAAATTGTGTGGGGAAGAAAACTGCGTGAGGCCGACAATACCGGAGGGCGATAACAAGAACATAAATTGGCTGTTCTTGCTTTTAGGGCAAATGATTGGACGTTTGAAACTTGAACATCTCAAATACTTCTGTGCTTACACCAATAATCATCGAACTGGGGCTAAGAATCGTCTTGTTTATCTCACTTATCTTACTCTTTGCAAACAACTTCAGCCCTCCATGGAACTCTTCCATCGTTGAAGAAGATGATTGCAAATCTTTTGAAATTTTAGGATTTCTTTTTTCTTTTTGGTTTTTGTTTTACAATTGTTAGAGGACGGGGATCCAATGTTCGGCCCGAAGAAAAATAATTGATGTCTTATCTAGAAAGTCGTGTTTTGATTTGGTAAAGTATAGAGTTTGTATTATTTGAATGTTTAATTACTTTTCAGTTTGACTTAATTTGATCATCCCATGGAATTTGAGGTTTGTGTGTCATGGAAGATGATTAATTATTTCAATCTTAGATATATTTTTGCCACAATTTAGTGAAGTCTATTTAAATAATTCAGGTTGGAAGCATACAAATTTTCAAAAACTCAAATGGAAGATTTTAATTAACCAGTGAATAAGAAGACTCGAGGAATTATATTTCGTTTAGAGAGGTGTTTTTAGGCATATAGAGAGGGGGAAAAAAGTGAGAGAGATCAGGGAAAAAAAAAATTTGAGAGAGAAAAAAAAAAGTTAGAAAGAAATAGAGAGAAACTTTTAGTGAGAAAATAACAAAATTTGTAAAGAAAGCACAAGCTTTGAGAGGCAGTGAGGAGAGAGACATAGATCGGAGAAAACTTCGCTCTTTAACGGTAAAGTGTTCCTTATTCCCTTGTGTGGTTTATAATAAGAAGACAGTATTGAGCTATTGATTCTTTTTTAATTATTTTAATAAAATTTATAATCTCGTCAAAATCTTATCAAAATCTCGTTTAATTTCTTTTAGAGGTTAGAGTAGTAGGAGGAAGAGAGAAAAAGGAGGTGAGAAGTTGTAGGGAAGGAGAAAAAAAGAAGAAGAATAGTCAAATACTTTAAAATAATAATAATAATAATTTTGATGAGCCATCATGGTTCTATAAAAAATAAAAATAAATAAAACAAAATAAAAGCAATAGTCGAATACTTGTCTTCTCATATATTATAGATTCATGCAAGGTAAGGAGTACAATGCCCAGTTAAGAAACGAAGTTTTTTCCACAGACATTGAAGAGATTAACATATATTTTAGAGAAATAAAATTAGAGAGAGAATGATTTTTAGATAGATAACTAACGGAAGATCACTTTAAAGTAATTTTTAAAATTTTTTAAATCATTTATGCATACTTTTATCTAAGATTTGAAATGTCCATGTAAATGTCGAAGTCTAGTCTCAAGAAAGTTTGAATTAGTAAATAAAACTTTAATTGTAATTTATAATTAGGCTATAATTGATCATTTTGATTTAGTAAGTATTTCTTTACTAACAACATCACTTCTTAATCAGAGATATATGTCAATTACCAATGAATTTCGTCCCACATTAGAAGATTTACGTAAAAAAGTTTATAAAACTAGTTCTTAAGAATGACAAGACTTTGATTGTGGTTTAGTTAGGTTATAATTAACTATTTTTAATCTTTATATCTAAAAATATAACTAATATTTAAATATTTGAAAAACATGATCATGGATATTGATAAGAATTGTTTGAGTTAACATTAACGACTATGATTTAATTAGGCTAAAATTGACCAATTTTTAATTATTATATCTATAAAATCTAAATAATGTTTATATATGGCTATCGATGTCCATAGAAATATAAGAAATGATAATGAAAATTAATAGAATTTGTTTAAAATATAGTAAATAAAACATTGGTGGTAGCTTAATTAGATTATAAATGACTATTTTTTTACCATTATATCTCAAATATGAGTAAGATTAATATGTAAAAATATCGGTGTAATTGATGTTTCGAAAAAGATTATGAAAAGTATACAAATATTAATAGAATTATTGAAAATCTTTTCTTGCTTAATTCAAATAATATTAGATGATTATGATAGATTTGCAAGATATCAACCAATCTATTGAAAGATTCTTTAGTCTCAAAATTTGACAATTACTTATAGTTATGACAAATTATACACAGATAAAAAATTTGAAATCAAAGAATATAAAACAGAAACAGAAACAAAAACAAAACAATATATATAATATAATATGTTATTATTAGAGATAGATCATGTATTAGTTACTCAGTAGTTTGTACAGTTATTTAGTTATTTCATAACTGTTGATTGTTATGTACAGATGGCCTATATGGTCTTCCTGATTTATCTTCAATAACAAGTTAGACTTAATTTACTGTCAGTTTTACTGTCAMTGTTAAAATGAATTAGTAATTTTAACTATTGACGTATATTTCCAATCGTTACTAAAAAAAAATAGTAATTTTTATTTTTTCGGAATAAATAGGCCGATAATAATTTTTCTCTCCCTCTTTAACAACTAAAACACAAGAAAGTTCAGTTCACTAACAAACTATACAAACTACTTTTGAAATGGAAAACAATAGAAAATCATTTCTAAAAAATAAAATTACAAAATAGTTTTTAAAATATATATATATACAATCACTTGGGCTCTTCATTTCTACGAAAATTGTGTCCMGGATCTGGTAATCTAAGCCTTGTTTCTTCTGGTCGGCTCGTATTAGCCAGTATAGTGACCGGTTCCATGTTTCCCCAGAATTTCATCAGTTCCAAGTTCAAGTGTCTGCCGATCCATCTTCGTTCCAAAGACGAACATTTCCATTGGATGACTGTAACTGCTATGGTTTACACTCAATAGTTCTTAACCAACCCTTTCTCTTAGAGTTTTAGTTTACGAATTCATGAGTGACTCACTGTGGATTCTATCTTCAACCACATGTTGCCTAAAAATCTAAACCAAATTTTTGGAATATACCAAAAAGGAAATATTCAGTCAAACATTTTCAAAGAGTAATAATAACAAAAAAAAATTTTGAGAGATGACAGGCACAAATTATCCAAGACAGAACTCCGATTCTTCCTCTTCGTTGTTAAACAAATTTTTAAAAAATAACAATAATAACGAAGATAGAGACCAGAAGATTTAGGAAATTACTTTCCAAAAAGTTAAATTTTAGAATTGATAGAAACAAATTTTAGTTGAAAATTTTATTAGAATCTTACTCTAATTATAACTTCAAAAAAAGAAAAGATAAAAAAAAACGACCTGATCTTACATATAACTCCAGAATTAATAATTCTGGACCTTTTGAATACAATACAAACTTTTTAATGTTGGGTTTGTAAAGAGTGCTCCACGTTGATTAGAGAAAGGGGTGATCCATGATATATAAAGGAGGACAATTATGTCAATCAGGACGAGGCATTTTGGGTGGAACCAAAAACAAAACCGTGAGATTAAAAGAAATTCTTCGACTTGAACACATATTAAACCACTCTAAAATAATTAACTCTCCTAATTTAATAATTTCAAGTTTAACAACTCCACGTACTTCCTAAGAAAATCCTTTATGAGGTCACATAATATATATAGGGTTACTTTTTATCTAGCATAACAGCTTACCTTTGGAGTTATCCATAAAAATAAAAAAATAAAAAAATAAAAAAAAATGTTACAGCTAAAGATGGTCCAATGCTGAATAAACGAAGCAAAATTTCTTTAAAATGATCTCCTAAAGCTTAAACAACTCCCAAACGACGAGCACATTCAAGTTCAAATTGAACTACCCAAAATAAATGTGCACCTTATTGATATAATTAGTAACTACAATTTCTTTGAAGCTTTTCTTTAATACAACATTTAGGAGTGAGAATTTCAATTCACAACATTTTAATCGATGATAGGTGACTTAAGTACTAGTTAAGCTATACTTAGATTACTTTAATCTTTTTTAACTATGCTTCCATAATTTCAAGATTTCTTTCCTTCAGATGTAGTGTCGGTTTATTTATATATCTCACGATTGGAGTTTGGTAAAAAGATCAAATTTTGTTGATGTACCAATTTAGTTTCATGTATCAAATAATACCTAATTAGATGTTCATGTGTTCAAATATTTCAATAAAATAATAATTTAACGATATATCTTTTTTTGTTGTGAACAAATTTTTTATTGAATGACTTAATTAAGAATTTTAATACATTAAAGTTTTGAAAACTACCATGTTTAAAAAGAAAAGATTAGCACCCATTGTATATTTAGCTTTTTTTTTCTTTTTTTTTCATTGACTTATTCAAATCTAATGACACCTCCATTTCTAACAAAACCAATAATTTCGCATATTTTATTTTAAAAGAAAATTCATAGATATTACAAATATTTAGGGAGGATTACTGCAAAATGAAATTTTGAAGAGAAAAATATTTTTTAAAAAGTAGTATTGTACATTTACGGTAATTTGTTTTTATACTTATAAATATGATGTTGTTTGGCTTATACCCTTATTCATAATGTAAATTAAATGTAATTAATAATACATGGTACGATAAGATAATTGATAGTATTAAGAAATTAACAATATCACGATACAATATAAACTTTTAAAATTTTATCTCGAGAATATAAATGAATTCAAAATTCATAACAATAAAGTAATTAGAATCGTATTTAAGGTGTATAATATATAATCTTCATATTCTTAACATCATGTATTAAGATACTTCAAATTTTGAAAATATTCTTATGTACATTATAGATTATTATCAAACTTAAAAAGTAATAATTTTTTAATAAAATATTATTGTATTTTCTCTTTCTTTCCTGTTACAATTTTCACACACAACAAACATAGTTATGCGCTATGATATCAACCTAAACGAATATAAATTATAGATCATTATCAAACTTAAATTAGTAAATTTTTAAAACATGTATTACAATTTTATTTTTCACACCACAATAGTTATATTATGATATCAAAGTCTCTCTACAAATAGTTTTCAAAACTAAAAAAAGTTGTTGAGTAAGATTTTGGTTTTTTTTTCCCTAATCCAGATTTTAGATTTTGAAAATAATAATAAATGGAAAATTGAAATTGAAATTGGAAAGTAGGGATAATTAGAGGACACGAAAACAAGAAAAACAAGAAAGAATTTCGTTTGTCAATTCCGGTTTATTCGCAGTTGAAATCTTAGTTTTAAGTTCTTTTATACAAGATTTTTAGTTCAAAAAGAATTTAAAAAGAAAAAAAAAAAGCAGATGAAGAAGATTTTCCTTGATTTTCGATTTTCTCTCAACCCTTGGCAACTATATATTCTGCTCTCTAATATAGTTTTAAAATTCTCTCGTACATTTAACGGTATAAAATTTTCAAGACTGTAGTAGCTTTTATTATCAAAAGTATGCCAAAGGTTCCAAAGAATAGTTACGAAAGAGACGATGGTGACAATGATGACGATGGTTGCGATGGTGACGACAGTGGCGACGAAGAAGATGGTGACGATGGTAACGATCTTGATCTTGAACTCTCTCTTCGTCTGCCGTTGCAAAAAAAATTCTTTCGTCGTCCACTGCCAGGAGAGAATACTCCACTGCAGCAGCAATTCCTCTTCTATATGGCGCAAGTGCCGTTAGAGAATAAAGTACCACCACAACAATTCTATCTTCATTCTCTACCTTCGGAAGAAAGCACTTCAACACCAATCTCTCCTTCTGATCCACATCCATTGTCGTCGCAACCGCAACCACAATCGCTGCAACTACAACCGCAACCGCTGCAACCACAACCGCAACCGGAACCGCCAATCCCACATCCTTCCACTTCCTCTTGCAATACTTCACAATCTTTAAAACCTAGCCGTAAGCGCCGCAGTTCTCAAGAGTCTCCTTCAACTCATCCATCTTCAAGCGAGCAACGACAACAAAAACCCAATATTTCAAGACGACCAAGGATCAAACCAAAGGACACGGCGATCGAGCCGCCGTATCCCTGGTCCACGGCGAACCGAGCCGTGGTCCACGACCTAAAATACCTCCAACAGAACCAAATCCTCACCATAACCGGCGACGTCAAATGCAGCCAATGCCAGAAACAGTACAAGATCGAGTACGACCTCGTCACAAAGTTCGACGAGATCGCGAGTTTTATAGAGAAGAACAAGGATACTTTACACGACAGAGCTCCGAGTTCGTGGACAAACCCTAATTTACCAAACTGCAAATTCTGCGGCCAAGAAAGCTGCATGAGGCCGGTGATTCCGCCGGAGGACGAAGACGACGATTACAAGAACATAAATTGGTTGTTCTTGCTTTTAGGGCAAATGATTGGATGTTTGGGACTCAAACATCTGAAATATTTCTGCACTTACACCAATAATCATCGTACGGCTGCAAAGGATCGTCTTGTTTATCTCACTTATCTTTCTCTGTGCAAGCAACTTCAGCCATCAACAGAGCTCTTCCATCGCTAATTAGGGTTTAATTTTTTTTATTCTTGTTCTTGGAGTTTGTGGATTAGGGCATTCATGGTGGGGGAGATTATTATTTTTTGTTTTGCTGTTTTTTATTTTTATTTTTTTAATTAAACTCTTTTTCAATTTTTGCTGCGGGTGAATGTTTGAAATTTTGGAATCGGCTTCGATTTAGATGATGAATCAAGCCATCTAAAGAGGACATGTTCTTGGAAGCAAAAATTTCGATTATCTTGATAGTTTGACCCTTTCTCGTGATATTTGATTACGTTTCTCATGATATATTTGATTACGTTTCAAAAATATATTCTTCTGCTAACAATTAGAATATACTTTTTTTTTTCTTTTGGGATACGTTTATGGGACTTTCTTTTTAATATGGTTAATTTTCGAACTTATTTCCATTGATATAATCGAAATTTAAAATCTTCTCTCCCTCTATTGGCTATATTGATTTTAGACTTGAAATCTTATGCTCAGGAGGGGTGATTTAGAGTTAGAACTGAGATGCATTATCGGGAGATTTAGAAGTCCTTTAGACATCGTTTAAAGACTTTTTCAATAAAGTCTTGACTTTTATAGAAACTAGATAGGGATATTGATTTCTTAATTGGTAAGAAGAATTAGCTTGCGCGAGGCAGTTGAGATTTTAGAGTTTAGAGTTATTGRCGTTTACAATTAATAATTCGTTCAATCTAATTAAGTAGATGGAGCTTTGAATCCTCCTCAACGCATCCCACTCGACCCATGCAAAAATTTAATGCCTTCATCRATGATGCAAATCTTGTTGATCCGTTTTTGACTAACGGTATTTTTACGTGGTCCAACCTCCGACACCAACCTGCTCTATCTCGCATCGACAGATTCCTCTATTCTCAGGAATGGCTTGAAAAAATTTCCCCCCACCAGGTACGCCGTCTCCCCCGAGTGTTGTTTGATCACTTTCCCATACTGACGGAATCCCCTAGTCTTAAATGGGGCCCTTGCCCTTTTCGGTTGGAGAGTTATACGATAAAAGCTTCAGGGCTCTCATAGAGAACAAATGATCCTCTCTCTCAATTCCTGGTTTTGCAGGTTTCTCATTCATTAAGCATCTGTCCTTGTTAGCACGAGAGATTCACTCCTGGAGACAGAATTCTCTCAACCAGCTAGCCACACGCAAAGCCACAATTATAGAAGAAATATCTGAGATAGACAGAAAAGAGGAAGCCAACTCCTTTGACTCTTCTGATCATCTTATCCGTCGGTCATTAAAAGGAGATCTTAGTGCTATTGTCCTAAAGGAAGCTAGACGTATGAGTCAGAGATGCAAGCGCATGTGGGTTATGGAAGGGGATGAGAACACTTCGTTCTTTCACAAGGTCTGTACAGCTCGCAAACGAAGAGGATTCATATCTGAAGTCGTATCCCTGGATGGGATTAGCCTGTAACGGATGATCTTATTGAAAAAGAGGTTATCAGATTTTTCTCTAGCATCTATCAGGGAGAGCGCTACCACCGGAAAATTATTGTCAACATTGAGTGGTCCCCAATTTCATCATCCCAATCCACTTGGCTCACTCAACCCTTTGCCGATCGAGAAATTTTCGAAGCTATAAAGCAATTGGGCCAAAACAAAGCCCCTGGACCCGATGGCTTCACAATCGAATTTTTCAAAAAATTTTGGAACACTTTCCGAACCAACTTCCAGGCGGTGTTCCACGATTTTTTTAAAACTAGAATTGTGAACCGGGCTCTTAACGAAACTTATAGCCTTCGTTCCGAAGAAGCCCAAGCCCATCACAATGTCTGATTACCGACCGATCAGCTTGACAACCACAATATATAAAATATTAGCGAAAGTCCTTGCAGACCGTCTCAAAACTGTGCTACCAAACACCATTGCATCCGCTCAGTCTGCATTTGTCCAAGGCCGTCAAATCACTGACTCTACACTAATGGCTAATGAGATGATCGATTATTGGCGTTGTGCTAAAAAGAAGGGTGTTATCCTCAAACTAGATCTTGAAAAAGCCTTTGACAAGCTTGATTGGCATTTCCTTCTTAAGGTCCTATCCCTTAAGGGATTCAATAGCAAATGGTTAGCTTGGATCTGCGGGTGCATTACATCAGTAAGCTTCTCTATCCTTCTCAACGGCAAACCGAGGGAAAAATCAGTGCGAATCGAGGGATTCGCCAAGGCGACCCCTTGTCACCATTTCTGTTTGTTATTGCCATGGACTATTTAAGCCAAACGCTTGATGCCGCCTATAATAAAGGATTGATCGAAGGTTTTCGCATTCGGGACAATGGAACTCACATTTCGCATTTATTATTTGCCGATGACATTTTGCTCCTTTCTAGTCCTGATGAGCGAAAGTTCCGAAACCTACATCTTATACTGAAGTCTTTTGAACAAGCTTCTGGGCTCAATATTAATCTTAACAAATCCTCCATATCTGGGATAAATGTCTCTCATGATGAACTTCACTACTTGGCTGGTATATGGAGTTGCCCCATTCAAGCTTTACCTTCCTCTTATCTGGGCATGCCTCTCGGTGGTAATCCAAGATCAGAATCTTTTTGGGCCGCTATAATTGAAAGAGTTGATAGGAAGCTTGAGGGATGGAATTACTCACACATTTCCAAAGGCGGTCGTCTCACTTTGGTGCAGTCGGTTTTGAGTAGCCTTCCGACTTATTACCTCTCGATTTTCAAACCTCCAGCCCACGTATCAAAAATTTTGGAGCGCAAAAGGAGAAATTTCCTTTGGGAAGGCATGGGTGAAAAAGGTTTTTCTCATCTCATTCGGTGGGATATCACAACCCTCCCCAAAGAGCTTGGAGGATTGGGCATTGGCCGGATCAATACCATTAATATGTCCCTCCTTACTAAATGGTTTTGGCGGTTTTCTACTCACGGTCCAATCTATGGAAGACATTGATAATTGACAAATATTCACCTCCTTTCCCAGGTACTTTTCCTTCCATTTGCAAGTTCAGCAGCATAAGATCCCCCAGGTTTCATGTTATAAAACATGCTGCCTTCTTCAATAGATCTACAATTTGGGAAGTGGGAAATGGCATGTCCCTTTCTTTTTGGCATCATCACTGGATAGGGCAGGACTCCTTTATAGAACGCTCCCTCGTTTTTATGTCTTATCTCTWTTCCATCATATATCTGTCCAGGAAGCGTGGCGAAATTTTTCTTGGGACATATATCCCCGAAGGCCTCTATTCACCCGAGAAGAAGAGCTCTGGAATTCTCTGTCATCCAATTTTGCTACCCCATCTGATCATTTTGGTGACGACCGCCATATGGAATCTATCCGACAATGGCATCTTTTCGGTTAGGTCTATGAAGTACAATCTTGTCTCTCATCTCAGTGATCCCCCCACCTCCAATATTTTTGACAGATTATGGGATTTACACAGCTTGCCGAAGAAGTGCAAATTCTTCATCTGGTGTGTTATTCACTGAGGGATATCAATACTCATGAGAAGCTCCAAGCTAGAATGCAGAATATGTATCTTAATCCTAGCATTTGCCACCTTTGCCGCTGTGATTCTGAAACCTTGGAACTTTGGCACCGTCTTTTTGCTGCGTTCCATCTAATCCTGCCTCTCCAAGAACAKATAGAAGCCTTCATTACTGAAGCCTTCTTCTATCCCTGTAGCAGTAAACGAAATACTCTTTGGTGTAATGCGGTGGGCTCGATCCTTTGGCTCGTCTGGTTGGAGCGCACAGCAGGTGCTTCACGGATTCCTCAAAGTCAGGCCTCTATTTTGTGGGATGATATTATGGTTMTTGCATCAACGTGGTGTTYTAAATCTACCATCTTTTGTAATTATGATATATCTTTCATTTCTCTCAATTGAAGTGYTTTCCTATAACCTCCCCTYTTGTGTATGTTTCTCACATACTTYTAATGAAATGGTTCCGATATCTTTTCGAAAAAAAATTAAGTAATTGGTTCATAGATTCAATAGATGAAATCAATCCAACCTCTCTTGATTGTTTTTATCTAAATAAAATTGAGTGATTGTATCTGTGGTATTTGAGTGAGCTAGAATCTCAATCTAGACGACGATATCGATATTCACCTACCATCTATATTAAAACTTGACACTTGCGATAAGCAATTTCTGCTACAGGAGGCAAAAAAAAATTTGACTGAAAATTTTTTGTGGTGAAAATTAAAATTTAGGGTTACAAAGTTGGGTCACTCTTAATGTTGGGCAGGACATGATATTAAAGGTAGGCTTACAATGTCAGGACATGCCCAACATTGAAAATTAATTTTTTTTTAACACCTATTTTACTTTGTCCGACATTGTTTCTTCTTCTTTTTTTTTTTTGTCCGACATTGTTTCCTCCGTTTTTTTTTTCTTTTTATCTAACATTAAAACTCATATTTCTAGTAGTGTAGATTTTAAAATTCTCACATATACTTCTATGGTATAAAATAGSGAACAAAAAATTAACATGTCATTATATATTTAGACACATGGACATGTTATTTAAATACACAGTCTTGAAAATAAATAGATTTAGTTGAAAGATAAATTAGATCTCGCTAATAGACGGATATATGCATTTAATAGCATTTGAATATCATATTCACRTGTATATTAAAATTCATCAAGCAAATATATAAACAGTATATATATAATATCACATTATAAGGAAGATTCCAACCGAAAATATTTGCTCTCAGACAAAGTAAAATAGACGTTAAAATTGGAATCAATTTTCAATGTCGGGCATGACCCGACATTGTAAGCCTACCTTTAACATCAGATCTAGCCCGACATGAAAAGTGACCAAACTTTGTAACCCTAACTTAAACTTTTGCCTCCATCGTGCAAACCCAACAAACGAACGAATCCATCTTCTGCCAACAGCAACGATCCGACGGCACAAGCGACGAAAAACTCTGACGACGGTCGCGACCTCCAATCTCTTTGAGCATAAATTTTAAAATGTTTAAATCACTTTTCTTTATATTATATCAAGTTTAT